GATAGATTTCAAGTGAAGATTGAATTTGTTGAAAACAAATTCAGGATAGATTTCAAGTGAAGATTGAATTTATTAAAACAAATTCAGGATAAATTTCAGGTGAAGGTTGAATTTATTGAAACAAATTCAGGATAGATTTCAGGTGAAAATTGAATTTAGTTAAAGATTTCAGGATAAATTAGGATAAAATTGTTGTGAATAAATTTTGATGGAAAATTTCCGAAAATATCATTTGTACAGACAAATGGAGTGGCATTTTCTTCATATACGAAGTTATCAGTAACTTTTTTTCAGTAAACAAAAGAAAATTGCATATTTTCTTACATAATTTATTATAGATACTTTATTTTAGTTATTGTTTCTTTTCAATAGTTTGCAAATTTTTTTCAGCTATTCAATTTAATCAATTCAAATTAAAGTATTTAATTTGATCAATTCCGGTTAAAGCGTTTGGTTTGATCAATTCTAGTTAAAGCATTCAATTTGATCAATTTTGGTTGAAGTTTTCCACTTAATCGGTTCCGGCCAAAATATTCAATTTAATCAATTCCGATCAAAATATTCAATTTAACCAATTCAAGTTAAAGTATTTAATTTAATCAATTCGAGTTAAAGTATTTAATTTGTTCAATTTCGGTTGAAGTATTTGGTTCGATCAATTCCGGTTAAAACATTCAATTTAATCCATTCTGGTTGAAGTTTTCCACTTAATCGATTCCGGCCAAAATATTCAATTTAATCAATTCCAATTAAAGTACTTCATGTTTTTCTTCTTTTTTTTTGAAAAAAACCATATTCAGTTTATGCTTTTTCCTTTTCTGATAATATAAAATTGAATATAAAAATACAAAATTATATTAAATATAAAATATAAAATGATTGAATATAAAATTGTAGAAATTTTTGCATACAAGCATTGTTTACTAATATTTCCTACTGACCGGTGACACTTTTTTTTTTAGTAGATCTATAAAAATGTCAATGTATTGTTAATTAATGATTGTTCTGAAAAGAAAAAAGGAAGAAAAATACCTAAAATGTCTAGTGTATTAATTTTCTTTGAATTAATTTTTTGAATTAATTAATTAATTAGCAAAAGCATGATTAACTAATTGATGAAGACATGATTGATTAATTAGCAAAAGCAAGATTAATCAATGAGCGAAAGCAAAAATTTTCTTTTTATTTAAAATTAATAGAAACTATAATTAATAGATTATTAAATTTAAGCACGTTTTGAAAACAAAATTTTAATTAATTAATTAAGAAAAGCATCATTAATTAATTGATGAAGGCACGATTGATTAATTAGCAAAAGTAAAAAGATTGATCAATGAGCAAAAGCAAAAATTTTCTTTTCATTTAAAATTAATAAAAACTATAATTAATTTTTTTTCTTTTTTATAATCCATACATGAATTTTTAAACTTAATAATGGAATATTTTGAAATAAATTCAAAAAAATTATTTAATTTTAATAAAATATGTTGTTTAGCACTTAAAGATCAACGATAACCTGAAATAAAAAATGGCAAATTTTATTAATTCATTATACTGTGATATGTTTAATGAACAAGCATTGCATACAGTAATGTTGTCAATTTTGGAAAAATCATTTGGTGAAGGAATTCCGGCATTAGTATGGATGAATCGAGAAGTTATGATTGGTGTATGGGAAAAATTTTTTTGAAAATAAAATTTTTTATAAATTAATTTAAAAATTTCAATTACTAACAAATAATATTCATTCATGCAAAGTAACTTTCCCTTTCGTTTTCTTTTTTTCTTAAACTTATTTTATAAATAAAATTAAAAAAAATTATTTATTTAAATTGATATTTTGTGGAAAAGACTTGAAAATGAAAAGTTTAAATTTTAAATTTTTGTAACATAACAGCATAAATCTTTTTTTCTTTTCTGAAATAGTGCTTTTCATTTTCCGGAATGACCTGATTATTTAATTCGGAAAATGAAAAATGTTGCTTTTTTCTTTTTCAAGTTAATACATCATGCGATTGCACTTATGCATAGAATAATAGCATTTTCATTTTCCGGAATTACCTGATTATTTGATCCGGAAAATGATAAATGATATTTTTTTTCTTTTCAAGTTAATACATCATGCGATTGCACTTATGCATAGAAGTGATGATATGATTATTGCTGTACCGGAGAGCGCATTAGAGCGAACATTGGTATTTATTGTTGGTAGTTTAGATGGTGATTTAATTCATTTAATAACAATATTCAAACAATGTCAAATGCCACCAAAATCACATTACATCTTTCTTGGTTAGTAATTTTAATTAATT